AGGTTTTTCCTAGTAAGGTTTTACGAGCACATATAATGAACATCCAAAGAGGAATGACTTTTGAAAATAGTTTTTTGTGGATGTCCATTTATTACTCCGCTGTAGATAATCTTCCTGAAGAAGATAATCCATTTAGTACTTCATTGAAGTTTTCTACAAGCAGCTGATGCAGGTAAGTTGCAAGGAACTCAATGAAATGACTTGTACCAGCTTCTTGGTTTGATGAGAATAATTTAAATCGATCTGAAATAGTGGTGGATAATATTCTCTACAAACTCAATTTTTTGAGAAGATGGTATACAAGATTGGAATGCGGAGATTCAAATATTTGAAACAAGGTTTTCATCAGGGGGAGTAAAATACGCGATGCACTCTTTTTTCCTTACTAAGGGTTTTCCCACGGGGTTTTCCTTATAAGGTTTTTAATGAGGCACGTTATCTTTTAATGAACATCCAAGGGGGAGTGTTATAAATATATATTATATTACGGATGTTCATTTAGTACTCCGTCATAAATAAGCTTCCTGAAGAAGCTTATCATTTCGGTACTCCATTATGGATAAAGACTACCCCGGCAGAAGATTATTTATATCTGGTACAGAAGCAGCTTACAAGTAGCTTACACAGCAGCTTCCTTTCTTCTATAAATAGAAGAGATTTCAGTTCATTATGTACATCAGTTTGAAGTTGAATAAGATCAATCTCTCTCTCTATACTTGTCTTCGGTTTATTTACTTTACAGTCTTTATTTTATAACAAATACTACATTAAAAAGTTGCTACCCACGCCATTTCTCTTTAATTTGTTTTATGGTATTCGGCTAGAACTATGCCAAATAGCCAATTTTTGCCTTTCATAGTTGGGGTCAAAATTGGGCCTACCTTTAACAAATTGGCCTACATTTATCATTCACCACTGACGAGAAATGATTAGCACCACGAATCGCTATCTGTTCAACATGAGACTTAAAATTAAACAACAAAAACTTATCTTAATCAAAGAAGGGCATGAATGACTAGTTTTGCATTGTTAAGAAGAATATTTTGAACCTTTTTTCCAAAAATAAAAGAAAGAAAAAATACATTAACTCTGGATCTTATCCATTAACCGAGACAAATGAAATACTCCCTCTATCCCGATTTATGTAATCCTCTTCACTTTTTAATAAGCAGGGACGGCTACGACTTGCGGCAAATGGTGTCACGCAATACCGCTTCGTCATAATTTTTATTAAATATGTATATATAAGTATTATACAAAATGAAAATATTTGGTATAAATATAAAAATCACAACGCTTTTCATTATAGTAATTTATTCATTCATTCATTTTTTTCAAATTTTGACGTTGCTTATCAAAAATCATTCGTACGCCTCAATTAGTCTATCCTAAAATGGATGACAAATTTATATATTTAGTAATAATTCAACTTTAAAATTTTTCTTTTTATCCTTCATGAAATAATTTCTAGCCATCCGAATATTTATGGTTTGTTTTAAACTACAAGTTTTAATTGTTTATTTTATTTCTTAAATATTGTGCCCGATTAAAAAAGTTCACATAAACTAGGTCGGAGAGCGAAAATTTCATTACCTAATTTGGGTACGAGCATTATTCCAAATCTTAAGATAACACAAAGGACAACTCTAATTATATACTTACAGCCTCAAAACCAATACTGTTGACAGATCAGCTATACCCCATCCAGAACAGCCACTCCTAACTTCCAGTTTTGACTCGGCCCCTTTTCCTTTCTCTCTCCTCCACGTGTCACCTCTATATCTCACCTTCTCAACCGAAAATTTTCACTTTTCCCCTCTATTCTCTCTCAATAGCTCTGCAATTTTTTAGGTAATGCATTTTCACCTCTGAATTTCACTGAGTTTTTCTTTTTCTCTGTGTTTGATTTCAGTTCTTTTCTTTTTTTTCCTTACGCCATTTCTCTGGTAATTTGTTTAATTAAGGTTTATTAATTTTCTGTTTTTTTTGGTTTCTCACGATTGATATATATCTGTTTTTGTACGTTTTTGGTGGTAATTTGATTTGATCAGGTTGCGGTTTTCACCATGAGTGGTGCTACGAACCAGTTAATATCTGTTAGTCCGCCGGAGCTCAGGTTCCAATGTAATTCTCTCTCTCTCTCTCTCTCTCTGTTTTCATTTTGGATTTGTTGTTAAGACAATTTGAATATAAGAATTTTTGTTTACATTTCTTATTGATTGTGTGGGTTTATGTGTTGAGATGTGTAATTAGATGAAATGAAAATAAAAGAGGGAGAAATGATTTGGCTTTCGGTTGATTTTCTTTGGTGCTGGTGTTCCGGCCAGCTTATGCACACCTTGACTATTCCTCCGAGTACTTCCCCACCAAGGCAATGATTTGGCTTTCAGTAGATTTTATTCAATATAAGTGACCATTTTACCTTTGGCACAACCATTAAGGAAATAGGAACTCCTAAAGGAAAAAAGATGTATTTACTAAATTAACCTTAATTAATTGTTACTTTGACACATTGGAATATGTAAATAAAGGCAAATTTTGAAAAAATAAAATTAATTCTTTCTTGGTTATGTCCATTTGGATCAAAATAAAAAGGTAAAATGGTTACTTATTGTGGACCGGAGGGAGTAGCTCTTTGGATAACATCTGAAAAAAGTTCGTGCTTAAAGAGAAAAAGGAATTGTTTTTGCAAAAACTTCTTGAAGAAATTAAACAAACGCATTTGTGGAAATACTCCTTGTAAGTCTTTAAAGAAAAGGAATTGTTTTTGCAAAAACTTCTTGAAGAAACTTAAACAAACACGTTTGTGGAAATACTCTTTGTAAGACTTTAAAAAAATTCCATAGGAAAATGCTACCTAGTAGTCCGCCTCTGTGCTCTTTTTGCAATTCTTGTTTATAGGATTTGTTATGATGAGGAAACTTGTAATTCCATTTATTTGATTGAGAGAGAATTCCCATTGCTTGAGAAGTTTACTAACTCAGATACACAAGGTGGTTAACATAGCGGAGATAAAAACGTAAAGACATTGTGAAAATGACCTCTTTATGCAACATCGAGCATATGTATGAGAGATGAACACGGTGAAGGTACCGTGCAGAGTCATATTCTTTATCCTGTTCTGTTTTATATGAAGATGTTACTCTTTGGAGAATCAAACAATTTTATCTTCGCCTACGATTTATCAAATACTTTTTGAATATTCTTACTTGTCATACACACTCATGTTTGGTTGTGGTTCTGGAATTTCCTGTCTCAGTTGAGTTGGATAAACAAAGCTACTGCGATCTTAAAGTCACAAACAGCACAGAGCATTCTGTTGCTTTTAAGGTATGCAGTATGCTTCATCTCAATTCGAATAGTTCTATTAATCCTTCATGTCTTTTTAAAGGACTGTTGTAACTCATTATCATATGTGCACTCTACTTATACTCCTTGTTTTTCGTTGATAGGTGAAAACTACTTCCCCAAAGAAGTACTTTGTTCGACCGAACACTGGTATAATACAGCCCTGGGATTCATGTTTCATTCGAGGTGCTGTTCTTGAGCTTGAAGTTCTGTGCAATTCACATAATTTTTCTATATTACAAATAGTTTTAATTGTTGTAGCAGAATATGTATGCTAGACACTACTGGCCTAAACTCAATTACTAAGATTGATATCTTTTCAGTAGGGCGGGTTGGCGTTTTATATTGATCTTTAAGTTTTGTGATGTGTCTGTAGTCACCCTTCAAGCTCAAAAGGAATACCCACCGGATATGCAATGCAAGGACAAATTCCTCCTACAGAGCACAATTGTGAATAATGACATTGATGAACTTTCTCCGGATACTGTAAGAATTTTATGTGGAGAGAAGTGAACAATCTTCTTCCTATTTTGTGGTATTAGTATTATTATTTTTGGTAACTGTTGTATTAATTTATGTTGATGTATCCAGTTCAACAAGGAAGGTGGAAGAACCGTAGAAGAGTCCAAGCTTAGGGTTGTTTACATATCTCCTCATTCATCTCCTGGACATTCTGAAGATTTTAAACAAAGTTCTGATTTCACCTCTGTAAGTTCTAACTTTAATTTTAGCTCGCGTTTTTGTCTACTGCTTCAAGTGCTTGTTTGAACTTCGCCTTTCCCACGAGATGTTGGTATTTGTTCCCAAACATCATAATGCTGAATTTCCTTAGGAGATGATGACCGGTGGCTTAGATTTGTAAGCATGCAGCTAATATTATCTTAGTTTTCGAAAACTTGGCTTATTTTTTTTTTTCAGTGATAACTTCTCATATTTGCCTTTCTACTTTTCTCCTCCCATATTTGAAAAGCCAGGGGTTGCTCCCTTTTGTGATATGAGTTGTGCTTTTGGTTGGATGCCAGTGTCTGTCTTTTATCTTATCGCACCTTAGTATTTTTCTAGGTAAAATTTAATTTACAATGTGAATGTAGAACACTTCCTATAATACCCATATGGATATATAAGATAACACCGGGTAGCAAAAGGAGCATCAAAGGGACCATGTTTGAGGCAGGATTTCTTTTGCGATTGTTATCTAAGCAGTTCAGAGTCTATAGAATTTCCATGTGCTCTGCTTATTTATCTCTCTCTGCCTCATTTCCGACGAACCTTATATACTCTCAGATGACTGGCCAAACGCGTAGAGCATGTAAACTTTTCAAAAGCACCAATTGCTTTACTTCCTCACTTATGCTATATGACCTTCAAAACAGATTGAAGTGACTTTTCTGTAGCAGTAATTATCTGATATCCTGACTTAGTGATGAGATTTTGAAAACAAATGGTTCTGCCTCCCCCTTTAAGGCAAGCAACAAATACCAAAGCTTAGAAGCTGGTACTCTTAAGCTCTGGTTATCTGTAATGACATAGTGTTCAGTCAGTGAAAGGAATATTCTGTGTGACTTGAGAAATATCTAGTTTGTATTGGTATGGGAACTTTTTATGTGCATTTTCTACTCACATGTGTGTGTGGAAGGGAATAATATTTAAGTGCCCTGCGTGTGACTTGAGAAAAGTTCTGCTTGCATTATATTTTCTAGTCTGCAATGATCGAGTCTGTGTACATGAAGATAGAGTATAGACTAGAATCTAAGTGCAAATTTTAATGCTAAACTTTTCCCCTTTGATGGTTAGAATCAAGCATTGCAGCGTATCAAAGATGAAAGAGATGCAGCTGTCCGACAAACACAACAGCTGTTACAGGAACTGGTAAGTTTTGCTTATTAGTGTTTTCCCTTTGATGTGAGTAGCTGCAACTTTATCCATATATGGGCATACACTAGTCTAAATAGTACTTAATATATAAGCTGGCTCAGTATACAGAAACTAACTAGTTGGAATTATCCACATCAATACATGATAAATGGTTGATTGTACATTGGATCATAATTTGATCATTAATAGTTCATATAAGACATTGCATCCTTATTTTTGCACTATTTTGAATTTCAAAAGGTAAAAAAGACTAGTTTTTGGAAGAAAAAACTCTTGAAGTTGCACTTTCAGCAGGGAAAGCGTGATAAGTCTGTTATATAGCAATTTTCCTTAATTTTGCTTGCTTTATAAGGAGCAGGCAGTAAGCATGAAAAAAAGAATAGGACAGCAAATTAAGCTGGCCGCAAAATTTATTAGAGTATACAACAGTAAACAGTTATCTAAGCTTTCGGAGTTTCTTGTCTCTCCGAGAGCAAGAATGAATTGATGACAATTTAGGTGCTTCAATTTTGAGCTCATATCATCTTCCGCACATATTGTGTAATATTGGATATTGATAAGCTTAACTGGAGCGACATGGTCAGTGAGTATTCATATATCCGATCCCAACTTACTTGGAAACGAGCCTTAGTTGTTGTTGTTGTTGTATCATTTTCTACACATGAAATTTGAAAACAACTTATTGCAGAAATGCAGGGTAAGGCTGCGTACAATAGACCCCTGTGGTCCAGTCCTTCTCTAGACCCCGTGCACAGCGGGAGCTTAGTGCACCGGGCTGCCCTTCTCATATTTTCTGCTTCTCTAACTTGCAGGAAATTATGAAGAGACGAAGAAATCGGAATGATCCAGGCTTCTCTCTAAAGTTTGCAATTGTTGTCGGAGTCATTGGCCTAATGGTTGGCTTTCTGCTGAAACTGTTGTCATCGCCTTCTGTAGAATAGCTCAAGTTTCTTCATTCTTGGATTTTACTGTATAATTTTCTAGTGCTGATGAAGGGAAGAGCTTTCTAGCTCTGTTAATTTTGTGTAAATTGATCAATTTATATAATTTTTTTAATTTTTAATCATTTCTCATATACACACACACACCATTCTTTATTGGAGATAGATAAGTAGCGTTTCATATGCTGAGTTGCTAGGGACTTGAAAATTAAAGGTTATATTACGAGACAACAATAACAACATACCTGGTATTATTTCACACCATAGGAGAAGCAGGAGCAGTTTTGGAGAAGAAGAAAAAAGTAGTTTCTCTCCAAAAGGACTTTTGAGAAAAATACACTTAGAAGCAATTTTTAAAAGCTTGGCTAAATATTAATTGCTGCTCGGAAGTGCTTTTTAAATTAATTATTAATTTAATATATTAAACAAAGTCTATTATGTACTATATCTGTGTATCCTTTTTTATTCCTAAAAAATAGCAGATGAAATAGAAGGCTTAGAAGGGGGATAATGAAATTATGTGATCGGGTCTTCCAAAAGCAAAGGAATGATCCGTTTTTTAGTTAACTGACCTGATGGGTCCAACAAACAATAAATTATAACAAATATCTAAATTCTAAATTATTAAAAGAATAATAGACTAAGATTCTAAATAAAGGATAATACATAAACGGGATCTTCTTTTATTCAAACGTCTTGTGATCTTCAACCAGTTATGCGCTTCAATATAATTACCGAGAGTAAGCGCTATAGCCTGTTTCCAATACTCAGTTGCTTGATCGAACTAAGCCTCCGCAATTTCAGAACCTCCCTGTCGAATGGTCTGTTCTCCCCGGCCGGAATAGGTAGTTCAATTCCTTCCCTTAGAAGCAAATATAAATTGCATCTCACAAATAAACTGACAGGCTATAAATTTCGCCTTTAAAAGAAGTTGGACTAGTTTTTCCTTTGACAGACAACTGTAGCCTATTGTGTTACCGGGGATAGAATTTAAATATTAGCTTCAAGAAAAGGCCATCTGTGCAGATACCCTTATGACGCCTACAGGCAACATGATCTCTGTTAGGATTGAGAAATCTAGCTATGTAAGAAGAAATTGAAAACAAAACCCTAAAAATTAGGAGAGAAGAATCGGATCCTTTTCTTATTCTCAGAACATTTCAATGTACAAAATGTCAATCTGTTTATTCTAGAGAGTTCCTCTCATTTATATACAAGCAACTAATCAAGTAATACATGGGTTAAAGTGTAAAGTAATAAAACTTTGTGTTGGGTCATGAAGTGGGCTGCCCGATTGGGCCTGGACTATCTTGTGGAATTGGGCTTCGGTTAACATCCCTCTCAAGCTGGAGGGTGCAAACACTCAAAGCTTGCCCAAAATTGTGTGATGAAGAGGTCCATATAAGGCCTTGGTCATGATATCTGCCAATTGACTAGAGCTGCGCACAAACTGGAGGGACACCAACCCAGATGATAAGCAGTCGCGAACATAGTGACAATCCACCTCTATATGCTTTGTGCGCTCATGAAAGACCGGGTTCTTGGCAATGTGTAAAGTAGCTTGGCTGTCACAAAATACTGGGACAGGTCTTGTAATGGCAAGACCAAGGTCATTGAGGAGTCGAACCAGCCAAGATATCTCAGCAACCACCTTCCTCAAGGCCCTATACTCAGCCTCTGCAGAGGAGAGAGAGAGATAGTGGGCTGCTTCTTGCTTTTCCAAGATATTGGATAGCCACCAAGAGTAATAAAGAAATGTGTGACTGACCTCCGAGAAAAAGCACATGTAGCCCAGTCAGAATTAGAGAAAGCAATGAGAGACAAATCAGGTGAATTAGTCAACAAAATTCCTTGAGCTGGGGCAGACATTAAGTATCTTAAAACATGTAAACCAGCCATCATATGAGGGACCCTGGGAGACCATAAAACTGGCTTAAATGCTGAACTGAATAGGCAATGTCAGGCCTGGTGTGTTGTAAAAAATTTAATTTGCCAACTAGTCTTCTATAAATGCTGGGATCTGGGAGGAGATCACCCTGGTCAACAGACAATTCGATCGAGGGATATAGAGGAGTGGCAACCGAAGAAAAATGAGAACAATTGAATTCATCCAATAAGTCTGAATTATACTTGTCTTGATGCATAACATAACCATCAGGATGAGAAGAGACCTCCAGACCCAGAAAGTAGTGGACCAGACCCAAGTCTTTGATCTTGAATTGGTCATCCAAAAACTGTTTCAAGGCTGTCATTTCAGCAATGTCAGTACCAGCTAAGAGAATATCATCAACATAGACCACGAAACAACCAAAGAATCACCAAAAGACTTAGTAAATAAGGAGTAGTATTTTTGGCTAGCAATGTAGCCTTTCGAGAGCAAGGCATCAGACAGTTTAGAAAACAACTGCCTGGAAGCTTGCTTAAGGCCATACAAAGACTTCCTGAGTCTACAAACCAGAAGAAGAAGAAGAAGAAGAAGAAGAAGAAGAAATCTGAAGACCAGGGGGTATCCTCATATACACTTCCTCATGTAAATCACCATGAAGGAAGGCATTATTGACATCAAGTTGAAATACAGTCCAATGCCTCTTGACAGCAAGAGAAAGAAGACATTTGACAGTAGTAAGTTTGACAACAGGAGAGAAGGTCTCAGTGTAATCAATGCCTTCCCTTTGAATGTCACCCCTCTAATAACAAGTCTAGTCTTATACCTCTCAATAGAGCCATCAGATTTCTCCTTGATCTTGTATACCCACTTGCAGGGGATAGCCTTCTATGAAAAGGCAAGGGGAAAATGTCCCAAGTATGATTAGCCTCAAGTGCCTCAAATTCCTTTAGTATGGCCTCTTTCCAAGCAGGATGAGAAGCAGCCTGCTGGTAAAATTGAGGCTCAAGCAAGTGCAAGTCAGAGGTAGAAACCTTGGGATTCAGAGAAATAGATAAAGAAGGAAGAACAGAAGAGCAAACATAGTCATTTAAGTAGATTGGAGGGTTGACAGTCCTTCCAGATCTCCTCAAAACAGGATGCGCGGGGAGGGGGGTGGGAACAGGAATGGAAGAAGAAGGAGAAGTAGAAAGATGGGAAGAAGAGACATCAGGAGGTGAATAAACAGGTGTAGGGGAAAGAGAAACAGGTGCAGGAGAATGAACAGATGAAGTAGGAGTAGGAGCATCACTGTAATCAAAAGTAGGGGAAGGAAAAGTGGAAGAAGATGGGAGATGATAAGGAAATATGTGCTCATGGAAGAACACGTCTCTAGAAAAATAATAGAATGAGAAGAAAGATTGAGGAGTTTGTAACCCTTCTTGCCACAGGGGTACCCCAGAAAAACACAAGGAATGGCTCTAGGTTGAAGTTTATCTCTACTTTGCTTAGGGTTGGTAGCATAGTATAGGCAACCAAAAGACTTTAAGTGATCATAGGAAGGTGGATAGCCATGTAATTTTTCAAAGGGGGAAATATCTTGAAGCACAGTAGAGGGCAACCTATTAATCAGATAAGTGGCTGTGAGGATACAGTCCCCCCAATACTTTAGGGGAAGTTTAGATTGATATAAGAGGGCCCTAGAAACTTCTAAAAGGTGTTTGTGTTTTCTTTTAACAACTCCATTTTGTTGAGGAGTGTGAGGAATGGTGGTTTGGTAGGAAATACCATTTGCAGAAAAGAACATTTGTGCTTCAGCAGTGCTGCCCAGTTCATAAGCATTATCAGACCTAAGACTTTGTACATTAGAGTTGAAATGAACTTTAACCATTGCAATAAAAGCCTTAAGTACAGAAAATGCAGTGCTTTTGCTGATAAAAGATGAGTCCAAGTGACTCTGGTGAAGTCATCAACTAAGGTCAAAAAATACCTGAACCCATTATAGGTCTAGGTATTATAAGGACCCCATATATCAATGTGTACAAGTTGAAAAGGAGTAGATGAATGAATAGAAGAATAGGCAATCTTTGCTGTCTTGCCATTGGACAGACTTCACAAAAGAAATTTTGTTTGGATGATATCTTTCCAGATAGGAAAGGAATTGACTTCATTCTAATAAATGGTACATGACCAATCTTTGATGCCAAAACAAATCAGTTTTATTAATACCAGGGGAATTACAAGTGTTACATGAGTAGTAGAATCAGGTAGAACATTGAAAGATGAACTAGAATCATTGAAAAGAACTAGAAATGGAACTAGGAATTGAACCAACAGACAAGGTAGAAGAATTCATAGCTGGATTCAAGAAGTATAATCCATTTGCAGCTTTACCAATTTCCAATGGCCTCCTCAGAGAAGGGCCCTGTAAAATGCAGGCAGAAATGGTAAGAGGTGTAATGCGTCTGAATTGAACAAGAAGTTTATGAATAGATATTAGATTGAAATATAATGAAGGAACTAACAGAACATTATGTAAAATCGTATCTGGCCTGAGTTGTAGAGAACTAGTAGATATGACTTTTACTTTGTATCTATTAGGTAGAGTTATTAAAAAAGGTGTGGTAAGTGGTGTTAAGTTGTTTAAGAGGTGTTTGTGAGGTGTCATGTGGTTGGTTGCACCTGAATCTAGAATTCAAGGGTTTGAACCTAGATGTGACACTACACATGCATGAAATGCAGCAGAATGGACTTGAGGGTGGTTAAGCACACCTGCAAAATGAGCAAACCCAATGTTCTCTGAATTTGTTGATTCAGGTTGCATAACAGGAGGATGCAGCTGTTGGAAAAGAGTCATGAGATGCTCATATTGTTCTTTGCTAAACCCATGACCATTGTTCTCAGAAGACTACCCATTGCTATGACCATTGGTATAAGATGTGTGTTGGATGTGACCTTCAGACTGAACACAAGCAGCATACCTTTTGGATTTGGTGAACTTGAAATCAGGAGGAAATCCATGGTGCTTATAGCATTTCTCAATTGTGTGGCCAGTCTTTTTGCAATATTTGAAAGACGACTGAGAGGAGGAACCAGATCCTCTCTTTTGTTCAAACTGAAATCTTTGAGTAAAGTTCCTAGCAGGGGGTTGCACAGAGTTGTTTTGAACAACATTTCCATAAGCATTAAAAGAGGCAGACTCATTTGAGAAGCTGGTAATAGGAGCTGAAGATTCCTTCTGCTTTTCATCATGATAGAGCATGGAATAGGCTTTGCTCAATGATGGAAGTGTTGGCATCATGAGAATGTTACTCTTACAGGTAGAATATGACTCATTTAAGCCACTAAGGAATTGGTATATTTTCTGTTGTTCTATAAATTTTGGTAAAGCCTCACATGTACAGACTGGTGCTACATAAGCAATGTTAAGTTCATCCCAGAGTCCCCTGAGTTTCGTAAAATAGGTGGCAATGTCTAAAGACCCTTGGGAAGCAACATTGATTTTCCTTTGTAACTGAATATACTTTGAACCATTTGATGTCCCAAACCTTTCATTTATATCAGCCCAAATATCCTTGACAGTTGCAAAACACATTACACTATTTGCTATGTCTTTGGATAGGGAATTTGTTATCCATGCAATAACCATCTCGTTACATCTTTACCAAAATGAATAATAGGGTAAATTAAACTCAGATTTAGGAACTCTACCAGTTATAAGCCCTAATTTATTCTTAGCAGAAAGGGCAATAAAATATTTTTACGCCAAATGACAAAACCACCCCCATCGAAAGGGGGAGAAACCAAATGAGTACCAGGACTGTCAGATGGATGAACAAAGAATGGATGAGATGGAGGAATAGTAAAATCATCAAAACCAGTTATCACAGGAGAAGAACTAGATTCTGGACTACCTATGAAATAACCTTAGGCACGTAAAATTCCAAAAATAGAGATATTAATATAATCAACCAACACTAATAACTCGGAGAAGTGGTGAAAAGAAGATTATTGTCCCTCTTTGCAACCTAAAGAAGGTAAGGCCTTGGAAACAAAAGAAGTAGCGACCAAAAGTAGCAGGTTTGAGTAAACATTGGCGATATTAGTAAAAATACCAAGAGAAACACCGTACAACTCTCAATAGAAGATAAACACCATTGAAAAAGCTCCACAACCCAAAGACTTGATGGTTTATGCGCGGAAACAGACGAAGATCGACGATGTGAAATTCTCCATGAAACTCGATGAGGGTACTATGGACCGAAAGAGCAGATCGAGGTTCATCGATTCCATGGCTCTGATACCATGCTAGGATTGAGAAATCTAGCTATGCAAGAAGAAATTGAAAACAAAACCCTAGAAATTAGGAGAGAAGAATCGGACCATTTTCTTATTCTCAGAACATTTCAATGTACAAAATGTCAATCTGTTTATTCTAGAGAGTTCCTCTCATTTATATACAAGCAACTAATCAAGTAATACATGGGTTAAAGTGTAAAGTACTAAAACTTTATGTTGGGTCATGAAGTGGGCTGCCCGGTTGGGCCTGGACTATCTTGTGGAATTGGACTTCGTTTAACAATCTCTGTGAGTACATACTGTTTAGAAATCATAAAATTTTGATGACATATTTGGATATGTTTGAAATTTGCTTATAATATTTAGTGTTGTTGTGCTTGGAAAAATGAAATACGACTATGCTACGTTATTGGTATATAACTAATTTAATTAGATGAAATTGTTGAACACTAAATTTATTCTTAACGTGTCTAGTGAAGAACAAAATGGATGAAGTCACATAATAGACCCCCAACTAGTTTGGAATTCAGATATAGTTGATTCATCTAATTTAGCTAAAGAAAATAAGTTATGATATCTTGTGTAAAATTGTAGAAACATTAAAAAAATAGGAAGTAACTATCAAAAATAAAATAGGAATGGAGATAAAGCAAAATCCTAAGCAACAAGACAAAGGAAGAAAATTGAGGTAACCATTTAGAAATGTGGTGGGATAGTCTGAATTACCTTAATGAGATGTTTCAAGTTTGAGCTGAAATAATATTGAATAAAGACAATTAAACCACCAGCAAGAGGTTTCGAGTTCGAGTATGGAGTGATAAGTACTCATTCATTTTTAACCAGATGTATCGAGTCTGAATCTTGGAGATAAAATCGCCTTTGCTAGGGAATACTTTATTCCCTAATAAGATACTTTTGACGTAAATTCGAATTTAATCAAGTCCCACTGTGGGTGCTGAACATTTGAGAAACTAAAGAAAAAAAGATAATTAAAAAGAAAAAGAAAAAGTTGGGGTGTAAATGTAAATAAAGAAAGTAGATGACGCTTTATCTTCTTGCAACTTCCAGGAACTAACAGGTACCGAAACTTTGTAGTTTGTACGCACTATATAAGCAGATTTTCGACGCCCATCAAAATTCAGTTGTCAATAGAGAAAACTTTTTTGGCGTGTTGAAGAAGCAAAGAGAGAGAAATGGAGTCTTTCACATCGCTCTTCAATTCGCAATCGGCGTCGTCTCGCAATCGCTGGAGTTACGATTCTCTTAAGAACTTCCGCCAGATCTCTCCCTTTGTTCAAACTCATCTCAAAAAGGTTAGTATCCGTAACATTTCGACATATTTTCGGCTATGCTTTGCGAATGTAGAAATTGGAACAAGAAATTTGTCTATCTGGTTATTATGTTGAATTTATTTGACGAATTTGAATCAAAATTATTTGTTGAGAACGGCCTGGATTATGTTTTTTTTTTAAAGTTTTTAGCCTAGATACCGAAGCAAATTAGGTTTTAAAAAATTAGGAGAATTTTGTCGAACTTTGATGCTTGTTAAATTGTGTTAAGGTATCATCTCAAAAAGGTTAGTATCAGTAAAATATCGTCGTAATAATGCTATTTTTGCAACAATCTCAACTTGTTGTTTTTGGCTTTATTAGAGCTTTGAATTGGCTATGTTTTGCGAATGTAGAAACTGGAACAAGGAATTTGTTTATCTGGTTATTATAATGTTGAATTCAATTAATTTTCCTTGCGCTTCTATCGGATTATTAATTATTTGCTGACAATGGTTAGAATTGTGGCTTTTTTAATTTCTTTGTCCTAAAGCAAAGCAAATTAGGTTTAAAAAATTGGAGAATTTTATGGAAGTTTAATGCTTGTTGAATTGTGTTAAGGCCTTATCTAAAAGTAGTTAGAGATGAGACATTTTTATGTATTTATTCACGTGCGACTTTGATTCATTTTATTGGCCAAGTATAGTTGGTGAGAGTCGAATCGGGATGGAGGCATGCTTGATACCATTAATTGTGTGAACCGCCTCATCCGAAACTCCTGAGGGCTTTGGTCTAGTAGTAAGAGCATAGAAAATGATGTGTGTGTTAAAAGTACACGTCATGAGTTTGACTGCAGAAAAAAGCATGTATTTAAGTGCAGAAGGGGAGAGGGGCGGCTCCATTATTCATCAGTTTCAGACCATGTGTGTCCTCGGTAGATTTCTCGGTTACCAAAAATAATAATTCATTTTTAGTGCTTGCGGCACTCTTCTTCTTGCTTTACATGAGAATAGTTATAGTTAAAGCAGGATGTTTCATTTCGTCTCAGTACTAGAGGTTTTAGGTTTGTCAAGGGACTTTTTCATGCTAATTTAAGAGATCATTCTACTTGGCATTGAACTGTGTCGATGTGGCAGAAATTTGATGGAATCTACCCATTATTCTCTTTTTTCCTGTTTTTCTGGTCTTGGATTGTACCGTAAGGTTTTAGTATTGCTTCAGAATGTTATCCTGATCATCATTTCTATCTTGATTGTAGGTCTACCTTTCATTATGCTGTGCTTTAATTGCTTCGGCTGCTGGAGCTTACCTTCACATTCTTTGGAACATCGGTGGCTTACTTACGACGCTGGGATGCGTGGGAAGCATAGTGTGGCTGATGGCGACACCTCTGTATGAAGAGGTACTCTTTAAGTATTTTTCCTGATAGAGCTTTTCATTTGCTCCTCTGCCTCACATGTGTGATTCTCCGCTTTGTGTGTTCATCTGATTTTAACTTGATATATGTGTTAATTGTGGTGATCAGCAAAAGAGGATAGCACTTCTGATGGCAGCTGCACTGTTTAAAGGAGCATCTATTGGTCCACTGATTGAATTGGCTATTGACTTTGACCCAAGGTTTGTGGTCCTCCATCATTTTATCGATTTAGGTAGTTCATGTTTTAAAGAATTGCCACTGTTTCTAGCACGTAGCCTTAGTTTTTTCGCACTAAAGCTAATGTTTTATTTTGGTTTGGAAGTGGAACCACTATAACATTTGCTGTTAGCTTTAGAACATGACTTATAAATTTGGAATAATTATTTTGAAATTCATTGCTCTGTTACTTCAAGCTTGATGTTTTAGATTAGCTTTTTGTTGTGGAAATACAAAAGCACACTAAAAGTTTCCCAATGTTCCGAGGAAAAGTTTAATGTACAAATAAGCAACAAAAATTGAATGAGGAATGATATGTCTGAAGGTCTGGAATTTAATCAAGTTTTGGCTGGGCTGTGTGAGCCTGGATTCGCCTGCTCTGTTAAGATGATATTATCTCATATTCTAATACTAATTTTCTATCTCCATTCTGAGTAGCTTTTGCTTGCATGCTTGTGTATCTGGTTGTTGAGAATTAGTATTTCCTGGGACTGACTAGTTAACAGCTTCACAATCTTAAATGTTAACAATGTGTTTCTGATGCTTACATTTCTTGTATTGCAGCATTGTGATCGGTGCTTTTGTTGGTTGTGCTGTGGCTTTTGGTTGCTTCTCAGCTGCTGCCATGGTGGCAAGGCGCAGAGAGTACTTGTATCTTGGAGGTCTTCTTTCATCTGGTCTCTCTATCCTTTTCTGGTTGCACTTCACGTCCTCCATTTTTGGTGGTTCTATGGCCCTATTCAAGTTCGAGGTATGAACGCAACGTTCTTTTTGTTGTCTCATAGCATTCTTAACTTGGTAGGGAACTCTGAAGGAGACTATGTTTGGCTCTTACTGTCTGTTTCCTCGCAGGTTTATTTTGGGCTCTTGGTGTTTGTTGGCTATATCATTTTTGACACCCAAGATATAATTGAGAAGGCACACCTTGGGGATTTGGACTACGTGAAGCATGCTCTGACCCTCTTTACAGATTTTATTGCTGTTTTTGTGCGAATTTTAATCATAATGGTGAGCAATTATTTCAATCAGTTTATTCTGCAAAGTGTTGTCCCACCTGCCCTTTTTATGTATTGGCCAACACACTGACTCTTCCTTTTTTTCCCAGTTGAAGAATGCATCCGACAAGGAAGAGAAGAAGAAGAAGAGGAGAAACTAATGCATAAGCGGTTATTCAAAGACTCTGTAACTCTAGAATCTGGCATTTTCTTGTCCATAAACTTCTGTAGACCTTCGACAAGTATGTTGTTATTAGTTTGGTAACGCCTCAGATTAAGCTGTGAGGCTCTGTTGTGCTGCATGCCAATGTGGTTATGGTGGTACATAGATGGTTTTGTTTCCGAAGCATAACATCAAATAACATACATGTTTACACTATATCGATAACCTATCAGTTTACTTCTTATTTCTGCTCCCTTTTGCTGTGTTAGGTTGTTGGTGATTGTATAGTTGATTTTCCGTTAATGTTACACCATCTTCTTTCTTAACGTTGAATTTCTCATATTGATGGGAGAAATGAGAATTCATACCGTCGCCCCAACTTGTTTAAGATTGAGGCGCAATTGTTATGACCACTTTTGTCCTTCAACATGGGAAATTTTTACCCTAAGCCATGGGTTGGATGTGGTTTTAACAGGGCTTATTAGTTATATTCTATGCCCAAGAAGCTGGAGATGAGGAAATGCCTGCCTTGTCTCTAAGGTAAAACTTTTACTTCTATATCATCAGTAGCAGTTAAAAAGGAATATTAATGGTTTCAATTTTCAGTATTTTATGAGGAGACTTCAAGAAATTTTGATTACTCTAATCTTTTGTTATCCTTTCCCTTGTCTTATATTTTCTTCATTGTCTCATGTTATGGACCATTTAGAAAAATAAAAATATTACCTTTCTGTCTACTATACATATCTATGTATTTAGCTTCAAATTTCTTGTTTTGGTCATTCAAAAGGAAAGACAGAAGTTTAGCACGACCTTAAGACAACATTTACCATGAATATGAAATCATATTCTAAAAGACTACAGATCACAAACAAAAAACCTTGTATTCTTCCCGCATACCTCTTGTATTTTTTGTGAATTATTTCTTTTAGAACGAGGTGCAAAAATGAATAAATCCAACAAAAAGCTGATAGATAACATAATTGGAAGCAGGAATAGATTTCTTATTTTATCCTATATTTGTTGATTAAAATGATTGAAAAGGCTATGAGGGATAATCTCTTAAACAGTACCAAGGGTCGTGATGGGATATATAAAAAAATTCTTTCTTTAATTAGAAGTCTCGAGTTTGAGCCCCGAGTATCGAAAAAATTCTACTAATAGGGAGTCCTTCCCCTTTAATGAGAAAAAAAAAAATAGCCAGATTTACAACTGTTAATTGAAAAATGGCTATAGTTATCGACCCACTTTTTCATGTAAAGATAAAATCTGAACAATAACACCTTTAGAAATTTGGAAATATAGCACTAGAGTTCGAATTTTTTACATATGAGCTTCTAGCATATTGTGTTGGAGTTCCAACAGAATATGCGGGAAGTTTATATGCAGGAGCTCCATAATCCAACATATTAGGCTGGAACTTTCCGTGTGCTGGAGTTCCAACATAATATGCTGGAAGCTTATACAGAGGAGCTTCATAATCCCGCATATTATGCTGGAACTTTCCGTGTTTCAGCAAAACAGTAGTTATTTTTTAATATTGCAAACACTGACTATTTTTCAATTACCAGTTCGAAAATTGGCTAGCCCGTGCTATTTTCATCGTTTAATGGGTCTTGTGTGACGTGAATCCGGATTAGTCTGTGCTCCAATTTCAGTACCGAACACTTAGTGGAAACCTAAAAAAAAAAAAGAAGATAATCCTTCAACAAATATCAAGATAAGAAGGGAGGAGAGAATTTTATCAAAGCACCTCTCATCACCATTTTTTTTTTCGTTCTCTATCTTTTACTTTTATGTACATAACGTGGGACCAAAATTATTATTCACGTTAGTCATTTATAATATTGCTAAAAAGGCAAAAAAATGTTGAACATAGCAAACTTGCAGTCTCTTCTATGTTTGTCTTCCATTTAAACAATACTTTTATTAAAATCTTGTACTGTGTATAGTTATTACAAGTCTTTTAGCATAATATTCTCTTGGTATCATGTAAGACAGGACAAAGTATGTGTCTATTAGTTTGCAAATCTTTATCAGTCCCCACCATAACCTAATGTTTTTATCGTTTTTTAATCTCAATTTCCTATTTAGCAATCCACTAATTAAGAAATTAAGCACTTGCTTTAGCTTAATCACTTAACATGGTCATCTTTGTACTAATTTGGTTTTTCTACAGATTTCCTTCTGTAAAATTATTTATCCACTCAGTATCAAAATAGCAAATTAATTTTAACAGTTAAAAATTAAGCAGTAAATACACATTAATTAACCATCGTTAAGTGTTTTTACGCAAGACAAATGTCTTCTATAAACAACGAGTGGAGAGAACTAATTATTTCCTCCGGTCTATTTTAAGTGTTTTTTTGATATTTTTTTGTGATTTACAATATTAAAAAGGAATTAACTTTTTTTTTTCAAAGTTGACCTTGGAGAAAAGAATATTGAATATCTGTTATATTTTCAATGAATAAATTAAAGAGGTACTAAATATTAATATAATCAATTTTATTATTAATTAATATTAAAAAGTAAATTTCTCAATACGTAAGAAAACAACTACAAAATCAAGTAAAGTGGACCGGACGTAGTACTATCTATCAGTGTGTGATGAAAATGTGAGTTTAACAAATAGAAAACCAACAATGCCACGTCCAAATCGAGTCTTCTATGACCCCATTCCATTGGACTACATATAATAAGGAGCTTATTCCAAAGCTCATACCCAGTAATAGTCGAGTCATCCTTTTTTCTTTTTCTTTTTTTGTTGGAAAAACACATAATAATTGAAAGGCGAAATACATAAACGACCCCTTAAAGTTGTCTTCAATGATCAAATTTGATACTTCAAGTGGCTAGGTTGGGCGAGCGTGTGGGAAGGGTTCAGATGTTTTTTCTTTTTGTTTTAATCAAAATTACACATGTCACTTTTTAATTGGTTCATTAGGCAAGTGTAATTCACGCGTATGGTCTGCTGCACTCGGGTATTTACGTGACATACTTAATAGCCACTTGAGGTGTCAAAATGGTAAAGGGATCAGTTGAAGTGTTTGTTTGATCTGTTGAGGACAACTTTAAGGGGCCGTTTATGTATTTCGCCTAATTGAAAAGCTAAACTAACTCTACCATGAGCATTTAGTAAAAGGGATGTTCTTTCCTCTTTTTTTTTCTTTCTGTTCATAATGGTAGTGTTCGAATCAATTTACGTGTACCTTGACTACTTATTTAGTGGTGGAGCTACATGAATTCAAGAATGATCGTTATATATCTTTCACCAGAAAATTCTATGTACATCTTTTTTTTCTTTCGTTTTCTAATATTCTATGTATATATACATCCCATCACGACCCTTAACGAAATTCTCATTTTTACCATTAATTTCACAAAATACCAAGCAACCTCCCACCGACCCAGATATCGATAAACTCTACACATCAAGATCTACCTAGGCAGATAGTAAAGAGATTTACATAATTTTATCCAGTTCATTAATTGCTTTATTAACCGCTATGTCACATCCTGATGCAAGGATCATTCTCATCTTTATTTTATCATTGCCACGCCTTAGTACTCAATAAAATATTGTATGACATAAATGATGCCATTTGTGCAGACAATGCCCATGATCCATTCATTCACCACTATTAACCACGTTCATTAGGTAAAACTAATTGTATTCTATTTCTTTCTTTTCCCCCCTTCTTTTCTTCTTTTTTCTTTTCTTTTCTTTTTCTATTTCACAAATGTACTGTCTTTAGTAATATGACTTCTCATTACGAAGCCGCATCGAAAAAAAAGAGTATATAATCGAAATGCTGTAAATGTAATATAATGGAAAAATCCGATGCTAATATATTATAATTCTTTTATTTTATATCCGATGTTTAGCACCCACATTTGAATTCGATTAAAATTTAGATTTGTGACGGAAAATCTCAGGTAAATCACTCCCTAACAAAAGCGAATTATTACTGTTTATCCTAAAATCGGATAACAATTAAATTTATACGCGGTTTTAAGGACATGTGATATAACTTGGTACAAATTAAGAAGAATAAATTAGTATTGAAATTGACAATAAAAGAGCAACTGCAAATCACACAAATTGAATAGCCTTGGCCCTCGAGTTTAGTCGCCCTTGAACGAAAAGATGTTTCAACTGGCTTATGAACAAAATAACAAGATAATGAAAGCTAGAAAATGACATTATATTGCTTTGTATTGCATGAATATGATGCCTTTTACATATGATCAGACCCCCTTTATATAGTAAGGGGAGTTCTACTCTTGATACAATTCTATGGGGTAAGAAATCTCATATTTAGCTAATTAATCGGCCTCTTCTTGATACGTGCCGGGATTTCCGCCATGATCCTCGTCCGCTTGTGGATATTTCGGCTTTCCGTTATTTGGCTCGGTAAGCTCCCTCGACCTCACTCGATTTCTATCTTGCTCGGTCTCGATCTTGGCCGATCTCGGTCTTGATTTGTCTTTGGGTCTTGAGATCGGTGATCTAACTTTGCACCATGGTTCGATATAACACGAGGTTGAACCTTGGCATATCATGTTCCAGTCTTGAAGGGCAAGCCCGGTTTTGACAGTATACAGATAGTCTCCTCGTTTCTCGGAGAGAAGATGACTTAGAAACGATATGAATTTTCGAGATCCGTCTCGATGGGACATGACGTAAGCGACAAACGTCACTGATACACTCGATCATGACGTAAGCAACAACTCGAAACGTCCTGTCGGTCCAGTTACCAAGGTATTAAATGCCTTTCAGTTGCTGGTCGGCCACCATGAGTTCTTATTCGTCAACGGCAAGCTATAAGTACTGCAATCTCCCTCTATTTCAGACTTTACGTTCAAAACTTCTCCTATTATTGCTTCTCTTCAAAATCTCTTTGCTTTGCAATTCTCGCACCCAAATTCCTTGAAATTTTAGCAGACCGCATACCATCCTAATTCCTTTTTCTTCTACGATGGCGAAAACTTCTAAGACTGTGACGCAAAAGGAGGCTGCCTCTTCATCATGGCCCGCCAGCGACGGGGCTGCGACGGAGTATCCCCTTGAGGATTTCTTTCTGGGAGGGTGCCCTACTGTTGCTGATTTTAAGATTAAAAAGACCTCATCGGTACCGGGTCAATGTGAACCGGTCTCGAGGTATATATGCACAATTATCGATGACCTCCTTGCCAAGGTTAAAGAGGATTGCAACTGGGTCGATAAACATGTGGTGGTACCTTCGCCTGA